CATTATAAATGTGGAGCATTTCAAACAATCCTTGGTGGATAACCCATCTCCTCTCATATCCAGATCACTCAAACAGCCTGTTATTTCTGTCTCAAGCATTGTGTTTGTGAGACCATGATTAATAGTAATCATGGGGAAAACAACCGCCATAATTTTTTGTTATATGTCATATTCTGTCAGATTCCAGTGAAAAAGAGCTTGGTTTGTTACACAACTTGAAAAATGAAAGAATGGGTTTTATAGCCATAGGCATGACTGAAAAGGAAATCAGTCAGCTGAAACATGAATCTTCATTGCTCTGAAGTAAAGTAAACAATATACTGTTTATGGGATGGATCAGTGTTCTGAAGTGGTACAGAGAAGCCACTTTCTAGATGGCTGGCTAGGATGTTCAGTTCAAATGCTCAGGGTCAAACTGATTGCCAATTTTTCCCCAACATCCGAGTGGGATGGATCTTGAGAGATTTTCTCCTTCCTCTGCAGCATGGGACGTGGTTTGCCTGCTAGGATCATCTCACCAACCAATTCCCTGCCTTGCAGGGGCCTCTAACATTGGTGGCACCTCAGTCTCTTCTGTTCTCTCCCAGTGGCACACAACAGATTAAATTCCTGAGGATTTGAAATGCTGAAGTCACTGGGCTCTATATAAGGGTATCTGGATGAAATTTAATGGTATCTGATATGCAGGTGATCAAGCTACATGATCTCATGGTTCCTTGTGGTCTTAAACTCTATGAAACTATGACTCTATGAAGGCTTAAGATACTTTTATATCTAGTTCACATAAAATGTAAAGATGAGTTACCTCTCTGTGTACTTTCCTGGACCTATCACTATAGTGTATGAGTGTCTAGTATAGGAAAGCTGTTACTACGTGGTTAAGCACAGTTTCAAATCATTTATAGTTAAGTTTGGACAGGAGCATTTCAGCTCATTTAACCCATCCACCTGTATTATTGAGTGATAGTGGGAGGCAATGCTAGCAATCTTAGGTTTTTATAGCATCTACACTATTAGATTCCATGAATTCACATATCAGGTTATTCCATTGTCTACTTAACCTCAAGGTTTCAATATGACCGATACTTCAACTAGTAGTTGTTTAACTCAGCCTGTGCTCTCAGTTATACTGGTGAAGATCCACAGTAACTCACTTGACTTTAGTAGAATTACTTTAGATTTGCCCCAGTGCAACTGAAAGCAGAATTTTGTGCTCAGTTTGAAGAGACTGCTGTTAAAATCATACACATATGTGGCTTGATATATTTGTTTACTGGCAAAATTCTGCTGTTATATGTATTCATGTAAATCAGGAATAACTCCACTGAGAGGATAATCTGGTCCTTTATTTGTAATAATTGTAGTATCTACATGACATTTTCCTTGTGAAACGGCATGTCAGAGATACTAGTTTTATGATAAAGAATGTTTATTGCATAAAGTTTCCTCTGTAGTTTCCCAGTTTAAAATTACAACAGTAGTTGTAAGCAGTGGTCACCGACCGGTAGATCGAGATCAACAGGTCACTCGCGGAGTTTCTGCCAGTCGATTGCAATCTCCAGCCGCTAAAACTCCAGCAGTGCAGTAAGGCTAAGGCAGGCTCCTGCCTGCCCTGGCCCCGTGCCACTCCTGAAAGCAGGTGGCACATTCCTGCATGCGGGGAGACCAGGGGGATCTCCACGCACTGCTTCTGCCTGCAAATTGGACCAGATTTTCTTTCTGGATTATACTCCCTGTGCATCACTTCAGTGGCAAAACTGCCATAATGCCCAACAGATCATTCCCTTGGTAAAGAGAACTCTGCTGGCACATCTGCACTGCCTCCCCTCTTCCTGGCATAGAGGATGTGTTGCGGGGGAGGGAGCGGTGGAGCTCTGCCACAACCATTCTCCACTGCCAGAAGTTTCATTAAAGGACCTTAAACTACTGATGGATCTTAGAGGAGGCTGGCTGCTGCTCTAAATCTCATCAGGGCTGAGATTGGGCTCAGGATCAGGGAGCTCCCTGATGCCCTCCTCCTCCCTCAGAGGAGTGCTCTGGTGCAGGCGAGAATCTATCCTTGCATGTTAAATGCAGAGCTCTGGTACTGTTTGGGAGCACTGTCCAGCACATTTCCACATTTCCTAGGTTTGAAATCAAATATTTTAATTACTTGCTGTTTTTGCAAGGCATGCAGGGAGCTCTGAGACTGCCCCATTGCCTTCATCATCTTCCCTCTAAGCCAGTTGCCCTAAAGCACTACTCTACAGCCATTAGTGGCAAATACAGCCTCTTTGGATGCCATCATTAGTTCTCCTTGACAAGTCAGTTGGTAAAGGGTAAGGAAACCAGAGGTTCCCTTTTCCTGACTTAGAGCAAAGATCTCACCTCTGTAACGCAGCTGATCTCAACTAGAAATGGGAACTCTAAGGAATTATACCAAACCCAGCTCTTTTAATTGACAACGCAATGGGCTGTATCCTCAGGTGCAGTGTGGCTACTTTGCACTGCACTGCCGGCATTTTGTGTCTGCAAAAGCTTTCTGACCAGCACACTGAGAATCATGTCAGTGCAAAGGTGATTTTGTTGGGTGATTCTAATGACAGACCATCATAGAGGTTTGTACACTGTACACCCTCCCTGCAACATGCACAACAGGGAAAGGAGGGTAGATTGGCTGGGATGTAATTGTGCCACACTGACTCTTAGCTATGTTTACATCCCCTTGTGACTGTGACAAGCCAGTATATATTACAGTACCTCTCAGGCTTCTCTAATGAAGCACAATGAGGAAGAGATGCAGAAAGCAGCACCAGATTCCAGGGCAGTGCATGTGGAAGCTTTACACCATCTTTGGAGACCATACTCTGATTTGTATTCTCTGCATTTTGACCCTATTTATGGTCTGCCCCACATTTCTTGGACTCTGCCACTGCAGTGTGGAAAGATGCAGACAGAAAAGTAGAACTTAACCTTAATTGTTTTCACCAACAAAATGGAATTTCCTTGCATAGATTCCAAAATACCTGGGACCATTCTCCCCAGAGAAATTATTTACAGGTTAACCTAGCTGCGATGTTAGTAATAATGTTATCACCCTCAAGATCTGACCTTAACTGGAATGAAAAAGGATGTCAAATGCAATGTACTTAAATGTCTATCTTATACATTCCTGAGTAAACATTTAAATGTTACATCTCTGCCATATAAATTGTTTCATTTAATCTTCTGGTTTTTAGCTCAAGGAGAGACAACTTTAATCCACTTTGAGCTGACAGATGAAAGTTCCCTTTACAAAATATGTAGGTCATGAAATTTCAATTGAATTTATATTGTAGCATTTGTAAACTGTGGACAGCTGGAGGTTTACTTGTGAGTTAGTGAACTCATTGAACAGTTAAGAATCTATTTCTTTGGCAGTAGTGATAGTAAATCTTTTAAATTCTACAGACACAACTACAGCAGATTTGAGGGATCCTATTACTCAAATATGTCAGATTGGCCTTTAATTATGTTGAAAAATGAAAGTCTTAGGTACACTGTTATATCCTCATCCCCTTCCAGGAAATAATTCAGTCTAAAGTCTTCTTTTTGTGTACTCCTTTTAGGGATGAGTCCTGAAATTGACTTCTTCCAGTACCATCATTTATTAAAACCCCCCATCACAGCAGTTAAAGGATGTGGTTGTAACTGTGCCTTTGGGGGTCACAACCGAGAATACCAAGCTCATGACAAACTGCTGAGAAATAGGGCGAACACACCCCAAAACTGGTGGTTATTCTCCCATAAGATATACCAAACCAGCAACAAAAGTAAACTTCTGTTTCACCACACTGGCTAACAAGAAGTCAGAAAAGCTGTCTCCTTTAGGCATTCCAGTCCTTATATCGCCATAAAAAACACTAGACTTACTGATGAGTGGTTATTTAAAAACAATTTCATCAAACAAAAGGGTTTTTCTGATCCCAAAAGACCAGCCACATACCCAGGGCAATATATAACTCAGATCTTAACCAATAATCATACTGTTGCCAATCCTTTAGTATCTAAAATCTAAAGGTTTATTTATAAAAAGAAAGAAAGGTGAGAGTTAAAATTGGTTAAAGGAATCAAATACATCTTGGATCAGGCTTGTAGCAATGATGAAATAAACTGCTGGCTTGTTAAGTCTCTGGTTGGTTCTAAATACTTGGAAGGTCCTCAGTCCCTTGGTTAGAATGCTCCCATTAGTATAAATCCATATAGTCCAGAGGTTTGAGCAGGAAAGAGGCAAAATGGAGCCGTTCCCAGGGCTTTTTATAGCTTCCGCCATATGGAGGGAATCCCATTGTGCTCACTGTTGAAAATTATAGGTAACAAGATGGTGTTTGGAGTCAAATGGGCAAGTCACATGTCCATGCAAGATATGGCTTAGTCATCGCAGAAGCCATTACCCATACTCCAGCTAGAAAGTTCACAGGAAAGTCCATTAAGTGTAGATAGGCGTCTTCCATTGTGTTCTTTGATGGGCCATTTAACTTGAATAGTCCCTTCAAGATGTGCAGCCTAAATACCTTGTGGATGTTAACCACAGGAGCAAACATTTGAAATCCAGGTATAGAGTCAATACTCAGAACTTCAAATACAAAAATGATACATGCATAGAGATAGCATAATCATATTCAGCAAATCATAACTTTTCTATTGATACCTTACTTGACATACTTTGTGTAAGATTTGTTGCAATTATATAACAGTGGTAGCAACAATGATCTACATGGTCATATTTTAATCAGATAATGACATAGTGGTAACCAAAGTTTAATGACGCATAACTGCAGTTGTGGACTGTTCAGAGCACTGCTTGAATAAACTGCAGATTCAAAGTGCTTTTTCCTCCTGTTTGTAGCATTATATGACTTTTAAAAAGCAGCTTTCACTTTTGGCAATGGATATTTTATTTATTACTTTAAGGACAACTATATAAACTTCCTAATTCATTTTATTTTTCCATAATATTGTTCTGTTACCTGTTTTTGCAGGTACTTGGCTCTTGTCCAACCATTTCGCCTCACTAGCCTGAGAACAAGATCAAAGACTATTCGCGTTAATTTATGCCTGTGGGCAGCTTCACTGATCCTGGTGTTTCCTGTCTGGGTCTACTCAAAAGTAATCAAATTCAAAGATGGCTTGGAGAGTTGTGCTTTCGATCTAACATCACCTGATGATGTACTTTGGTAAGGTTCTAAAACTACACGTGCCAGGCCCTCAGTTGGTGAAAGAGTAGCTCCACTCACTTCAGTTCTGATTCACACCAGCTGAGGTCCAGGCCCATTTTGTCTGCAGCATTCCTGTCCCTGACATGAGGGAACAGAAGAATGAGCTGAACTTTGGTCTCCTGCTTGGCAGTTCAGAATGCTATCTCCACTAAAGTAGTCCTAGATATTATTATTAATATTGATGGCCTCAGCACAACTGAATGCAATGGAGCTCCACTGATGTGCAGCAGCTGAGGATATGGCCTGGAGTGCTTAGTCTCTGGCTGGAATTAGGTACCTTCTTTTCCACATAGAGATTCTCAGTGCACTGTCTGTCCAGACAGGCTATGCTCATTTGAGGCTATAGCCCATGAAAAAATTAATCTACATTCTCCAAAACACACACATGGCCCTCCAGTGTCTGGCTGTGCCCAGATTCCTGCCTTATTTATAGAATTGTCATTTTGGTGGTGGGGGGGGGGGGGGATAAAAGAAGGTGGTTTGGATTTTCAGATGTGCTTGGCATTAATAATAGTGCTAGGAACTAATGATACTAGAAATCAATCGAAATGTTACCATTGACTTCAATGACAGCCGAGTTAGGTCAACCCTGAGCACTTTTGAAAATGATGATGCTCTACTGAGTTCATATTTGTATGTTTCATGTTCTTTCAGAATGATGCCCAAAGTACGTGACCCTCTAACTGTACACTGCGTATCTTGTCCTATAATTAAATCACAGCCAAAATGTTCAAAAGAGGCCTCTGGTTTTGTGTGCCTCTGTTTTTGAGGGCCTAGCTTGAGTGTTTTGGGAGTTTATTCTCAGAAGTGCTGAACACTCTCAACTCCCCTTGACTTCAATTGTGGCTCCAAAAGTGAGGTCCCAGGACACCCAAAATCAGAGGCCACTTTCTGAAAAATGTTGTCTATATTTTTTTTCCATTTCTGAGGTTATTTATATGCATTATGTAAACATGCTGTCTGTTCTCTCTGCATTTTGTTTTCCAGGTACACGCTTTATCTGACTATCACAACTTTCTTTTTTCCATTACCACTGATATTCATTTGCTATATATTGATTTTATGTTACACGTGGGAGATGTATCAGCAAAACAAGAAAGCAGGATGGTAACGTATGTTATATTCCAGATATGCTACTAGGGGTGGGAAGAACTTGTTTGCAGTGGGCCAGGTCCTAAAAGGCGCTGTATACCCTTCACTCCCATGATGTCAGTGGGAGTTGAGGGTACTCAGCACCTCAAACCAGATACACAGCGCCTTGTAGTCTCAGGCCCATAATTAGGTTTGGTTTGGTGGACAAACACTTTCTCAGATACGAATGCTGTCCCATGAAGCTATGTGACAGAATTATTAACAGAAACTCTTTCAAAACATAATGAATTAAGGCTCATACATACATAGAGTTTAAACCCCTAAAAGCCTTAGATCATTTTGTCTTTATCTATTATATACCTCCTTTATAACACAGGCCATTATATTTCACCCAATTACCTCTGGAATTGTCACCCTGCTACTCCCGTACTGAGCTGTGTCAGTATTTCCATTGCAAACCCCAATAGGTTCCTGGCTGCAATTGTGCATACAGGTTTTTATCTCCAAAAGGAATTGTTCCTCCAAACTTTGATGGGAAATTGGTGTGGTTTTGTCTTTTGGTTGAAGCAGTTTTTTTTAAAAATGTAACGATTTCGAGTGCTGACTGAGTTAGAACTCTTGATAGAGAGGACCAAATTCTTGATTAGAGATAGCTGAAAATTTGGGGGCGGAGGGAAATAGGAAGTTCAGAAAATTTAAATGAAAATAAAAAAAATTCTAAAATTTTCCATGGAAAATTTAAATTTTTGGCAGAAATTCAAATATTAAAAAAAAAAGTTGGTCAAAAACTGAAATATTTTGACCAAGACATTTCCATTTGGAAATGCTGTGGGTGCCTTACGGGAGTAGTAGCTCAGGTTTCTCAAGTTCCCATTCTCCTTTATGGGCCAGGCAACCTGGTCAAACTACATCTCCCAAAATGCACCATGATCTTCTCTCTTAGAGAGAAGAGGTGGTGTATCATGAGAATCCTTGGTCATGATGCAGGATGGAAGATGTAGTCTGGCCAAGGAGCCAGCCCATAGAAGATAAGGGGGATAGGAGACAACCAAACTACAATACCCATGAGGCTTTGCAGCAGCATTGTCAAATCAATATATTTTGGTTTTTGGACAAAATATTAAAATTTTGGGGCATTCTGTTTTTCAAATTTTCCATAGAAAGCGGATGCTTTTAATGAAAAATGTGTTTAGTCAAAAGCACAATTGTACATTAAAAAGAAGCAATTTCAACAGAAAATCTTCAACCAGCCCTAGTCATATCTCTCCTCAAGATCCCTTGTGTACATGGTGGGCACCACCATCTATTGCAGAGGATTCTTCCTCCCTATCCCTCTCCACTCCATTTGTCGTGTCTTGCACTCCAGCGGCTGCAGAGAGGGAACAGTGTGCATAAGTTTTTCAAAAATAGCCAACACCTGCGTAGTAGAGGGAAGTTTCCTTGCATCATTCCTATCAACTCTCTTTAGGACCACATAAGGGATCAGCCATGATCTTCTGCCCTGTATTTTTCCCCAGTTAAAACAATGCAGTCAGAAGTGTGGGCCCCAATCTGCACAGTTCCAACGCTGGAAGGGGCAGATATTTGTTCACAATATTCTGAATGATAGCAAATTGTCATCAACCAGACCTATTAAAAAAAACAAACAAAAAAAACTTCTCAGTGCCACCTATACTAATGAACCCATAAGACCATATTGAGCCCTGACAGAAGCAAACACAACACAACAAATAAAAATGAAGTCCCTGGGAGTTGTGTCTGCTTCTGTCAGGACTAAATTTTGCCCAAAATACACTGTCTTCACTGATCTGTGCTTTCCTTTATATTATCTTCATTTAACAGTTACCAATCTTCACATTTATGTTGCAGTTACAATACCAGTATCCCAAGACGAAGGGTCATGAGACTGACCAAGATGGTGCTGGTCCTGGTCGGTGTATTTGTTGTAAGTGCTGCTCCATACCACGTGATACAGCTCGTGAATCTTCAGATTTCTCAGCCATCACTGACATTCTATGTGAGCTATTACTTCTCCATCTGCCTCAGCTACGCCAGTAGCGGCATTAACCCTTTCCTTTACATACTACTTAGCGGGAACTTTCGGAAGCGTCTGACTCGGTGCACAAATGTCAAGCTCAAGATGACAGAACGTGAAGTTAACAACATTGAAAACACACTGGGGTCAAGCTTTTAAAAGGAGAGTCTATTCGGTGAGAGAGATGTATTACATATGTGACTATTTTTATGGTTAAACTGACTAGGCCTCATTCCCTTCTCGCTTATAGTACTGTAACTCAGGAGTGACTTCATCATAGTCAATGGACTTACATCGGTGTAAAACTTGGGGGAGAGAAGAATCAGGCCCACTATTTGGATATTAGGGTACGTGGTGGAAGGATGCTGTGCAAAAGTATTCTTTGTTATTGTCCAGTTGCTTCCTTATTGGTGAATACTACAAGCATAAAGACCAAAATGAGCTTCTAAAAATGTGCAGTTCCCTGGCAGTTACCGGACAGAAGGACTGTCTGTGGCTGGTATGTTCAGACAAGTATTCAAGATCTGACATTGCTATTAGCGACTAACCCATCACGTCCATGACATTGTGTGCGATGTCATGCACATGATGGGTTACTTACTTATAACAAGCCAAAAAGTACTAACTGCCAACCGGTCTGAAAGCAGCACTAGCAGCTACTGATTTTCAACAATCATACAGTGGTCTCCCCTTGGGTGCCCACTCCTGCAGCTATTAACAGACAGGGGAGAGACAAAGCAGAAGGAACTTGGAGAGGAAGGAGGGCAATGCTTTCAAATTCAGCTTTGTACATGTGCTTACAAACTATGAAATGAATGCACTGATATTTATATTAAATGTACATCTGAAAATAATAAACATATATTTGACAAAGAGCTGTGTGTTTCAGGGATCACTGTTTGTTTCTTGTTTTCAAAACCACCACTTCCAAGACGGCCTTAAAAAGAGTATTCACTTCTTAAAGAGCTCAAACCTGCTCCTGCTAGAGTCAATGACAAAAAAATCCATTGCCTTCAATAGGGGAAGAACTGGGCCTGACATTTCCGAATGTTGCCAGCATCTTAGCTGTTTGATTTCCTTAAGATCACCATTATATAGTAGAACAATACTGTGAGGCCTGATCAAATTAGCAAAACTTCCACTGAAGTATTGAAATCAATGAAAGTTTTGTCTGAATAAGCAGTGCATTGGGACCATGATAATACAACTTGGTTAAACAGAAAATACTTAACTTTTACTTTGGTAATACTGAAAACAAAGCCATGCTTGATCAATAGAACATTGCCATAGGACAGCTGTTCTCAAACTATGGGTCAGGATCTCAAAGTGGGTCACAACCCCATTTTAATGGCTTAGACTTGCTGGGGCCAAAGCCCAAGGGCTTCAGCCCTGGGCAACAGGGCTCAGATTACAGGCCCCCTACTTGGGTCTGAAGACCGTGGGCTTCAGTTTTGCCTCTCCTCCCGCACCCGTGGCAGTGGGGCTCAGGCTTCGGTCCCCCTCCTGGGGTTGTGTAGTAATTTTTGTTGTCAGGGGGGTCAGAGTGCAATGAAGTTTGAGAACCTCTGCACTGAGTTGTAAACTATCTTTTTTTCCAGGCCCCATTGTTCTAATTTTGAGTAGCTCAAAAATGCGGAGTAAATGTTTATTCCTTTATTAGGGTGACCAGATGTCCCGATTTTATAGGGACAGTCCCGATTTTTGGGTCTTTTTCTTATAAGGCTCCTATCACCCGCCACCCCTTGTCCCAATTTTTCACATTTGCTGTCTGGTCACCCTATCCTTTATTTAATATTTAGTGGAAATTTCTATAATAAAAACTAATAAAGGAATATAAACAATTTTTAAATTTTATGTATTTTTGTTAACCACCCAGAGCTTCTGGATTTATCTAAAGTATTCCATTCTATTGAAACAAACAGTGAAACTAGCCTAATTATATGGTGAAAAAAATCTTTACAACCCTATTTAATTTTAAATTACTCTGAAAAATGAAGCCTTAGGTCCAGTAGGAAATTTGGTATTACTTCCAGCTGAAATAACTTTGAAGAGGGAATATATGGATCTGAAGGAAGAATCTGGCCATGTCTACAGGGGTAAATTGTAACAGGCAATGTAATTACTTTTGTTACAATAGTCAAACTGAAACGTGGGGGGGAGGGGAGGATGTATGTGAGACAGCCACCTTCTTGGCCAACACACTGGGAATTGAATCAGAGACCTCCAGAGTTAAAAAGCATGAGCTGCTGCAGCTTGAGCTAAAGAGGCAAACCCCCTTAGCTGGGGGCTGTAACAGCTCATATCCTCTGGGAACTGGCACAGAGTGGGACCTGTAAAGCGCACTCACTAATGGGTTATATGGGTATTTCCCACCAGTGATAAATAATTTTGGTGTAATTTCTCCAAGGAGACTTTATAATTTCAGAATGCTTCCTTGAAGAAGACGTTTATTTATAATTTCATTAGCAGCACTGCAGGTATTGACTATAGCTCTGTCTTCAAATAATTTGCTTTCTAAATATGTACAAAACACTGTAATTAAAACACAGCTCCTTCTGTTAGGATCTATTAATGCTATCCTGCAGCTACTGTATAACTCTGCACCACAAGTACTTTGTTTTATTCAAAGTTATGGTAATAGCTTTAGAGAAAAACTTTGATAGTTAAATTAGAATGTTCCGCTTGAAAGGTTCCAAGATGCTCAGCTGACAAAAATAAAAATCAAGCTCTTATTAGACTTGTTGTGCAGTATGCACTCAAAGGCATTATGGACCTGATCCTTTTCCTACTGAAGTAAATAGCAACACTCTGGATCTTTATAGCACATGACTTACGTGAGGTTATATTCATTATGATGCCAACACTGATGTCATTGTCCAGACTAAGTTATTGCCAAGCAGTAGGTGACAGGTTATTGGGTGCTTTTAAGCAGGGAACTGGAGAGTTCAGGAGTTGGTAATGAGAGGAGATGTGGAGCAGTTCCCCGCTATAGCCCCCATTCAGCAAAAGCACTTAAGTACACACTGAATTGTAAGTATGCAGGTAGTCCCAGTGACAGCATGTGAGAATGTGGTTAACGGCTTTGCTGCATCAGGACCTCAAGTCATCCATCCAAATTCAGCCCAGCTCAGTGGAGTCCGAAAGCCGCCATCATCTTACAGGTGTTGGTGGGGGGAGGGGAGGGTCTGTCTGTGTGAAATGGCTTGGTGGCCTCTGTCCAGTTCCCTGGGGACAAGTATTCACAAAACAATCATAAACGTAACTGGCATCCTTGGGGGTGGTCTCAGCAGGAAGTGCAAGGATGAATGATTACAGAAACTGAAATGTTCTCACCATTAGAAGTAGTTCCCTTCAGCACTGGGTTGTCACCCTGATGTACTAATAAAGTAAGTGTGCACTGCAACTGCCTATGCTGTACTGGGCCAGGCTGTGTAGAGCAGTAGTGTCTTTGTTTTTCTGCGCTGTCGATCAGCATCTCTCAGATTCACTAAAAGAAAGACCACCACCATGGGCTTGGGAGGCTTTTCAGAGTAAAACAATGCAGTCAACACCAACAGCAATCTAAACAGCACACTCCCAATGATTTCCCATCAGAATTGGGTGAAGTTTCATGAAGAGGCATACAAAGTAGCAAATGTGAATGTTTCCAGAGGAGCTCTGTGCACAACCAGAATCTGTACAATGTACAACTGAAATAGCTTTGTTCTGAATATTCAAAATTTAATCAAGCTACATGTTGTGTAGTGGCACTCAGACTATATATTTTAGTTTTAATCATTGTACTAATATTGCACAAATGTACACTAGCTGAGGAAATAAATTATTATTAGGGTTTCAGATACAATTTTTGTATTCACTTGGGGGCCATGGAACATGACACAGTGAGCTCCCAACTTCTCTGGGGCAATCCACCATCCTCCTCCTGCATCCACCCCTGGGTGACCACCCTTTCCCCTCCCTAAGTCGAAATCACATACAAACTACAGTGACCAGCTGAGGGTATGTCTACACCCAGCCGCTAGTTCGGCGGCTGGGAATCGAAGTTCTGGGTTTGACTTATCGCATCTTGTCTGGACGCGATAAGTCGAACCAGGAAGTGCTCGCCGTCGACTGCGGTACTCCAGCTAGACAAGAGGAGTACCATGGAGTCGACGGGGGAGCCTGCCTGCCGCGTGTGGACTGAGGTAAGTTCGAACTAAGGTACTTCGAACTTCAGCTACGTTATTCACGTAGCTGAAGTTGCGTACCTTAGTTCGATTTGGGGGTTTAGTGTAGACCAAGCCTGAGAGTCAGAGCCAATTGTGTATTGTTGGGAACCCTGAGAACAGAAGAAAATCCCATCTGACTTAGACTGTGCCATTCCATCATTTGTGGATTCCTGCAGCATGGACCTAGAGACAGCAATAAGGGTAGCTACCCACAATTGCTCTTCCTTACCTACTTATCTTTCTGCAAGGCCACACATAATTCAACCTTCAGATATGTTCAGGATGCAAACTATGTATCTGGGGATGTTGCTTTACCTGGATGCACTTAAGATTAGGGTAATAGTTTTGGGATTCATTATTTGAAAATGGTTTGAAATAGGGGGAAAGGAAACTCTAGCAGAAAATTCCCCCTGTGTAGGAACTCTGACATTACAAGACATACATGTAATCATAAGACAAAGAAGATCTCTGATCCAGAAGCCTGCTGAGACCATGCATCCTAAACAATCTCAGATACTCACAGAACTACCTGAAGGATGCACGCTACTTCATGGAATATAAACTGCAAACATTCCATGCCCTCTTTGTTGGGGATGTTTCTCATGTGGGGTTGCCATTTATAATATTTTTTGTACCCATTTAAGGATTTGGATGCTGAAAGTACCTGGGAGAGCAATGACATGCTGCCTACCCCCCCTCCCCCCGCTAACCCCCAGAAAATAATTATTACATATATACACACATGCACACATTTAGCTAGTGTTCTGTTCAGTGCCTAGTAATGAATGGCACTGGCTCAAGCACATAAATGTTTACTTTATACTTAGAACATATCAGAAAGAAAAGAACAACCTAAATTATATCTGGTTCCCTTTTGTGTCCATTCCCCCTCCACCATGGTCTCTCCCCAAACCTCTTTGTCTCCCTTTCCTTCCTCCTGAACTTCATAAT